AGAAGACCCAAAGGGGGAGGCAGAGGGTTAATTGGGGTGGAAAATGAGGGTTACGAGGTGGGCGATGGCATAGAACCGCTGCTTGAGCTTGGGCAAACAGATTCACATGCAAAGGCGCACTTAAAACTGCAGACGCCACATAATTGTCGCCCCCTGCAGCAGCTGCCCCCCTTTTACCCGCCCCTTGAAGTCCTTTTGCCACCTCTTTTGCCACACGGTCAAAACGGAAAATTACGAACAATTGGTCAGAAATTGGTTCTTATTTAGAATTATAAATCGCTCTCATCTAAGGTTTTGCCATAAGGGCTTAAGATTACTTTCTAATGAAGAACATATACTCAATAAGAAACCCTCAAACTGCCTCTCTGAAAAAAAATATACACAAATGTTAAATACATAAATAATAATATAACATCAATAATATTTTCAAGGAAAATAAGCTTTTTAAATGGAAAATAGGGATAAGCTTAAATAAAACCCCCAAACTGTCTCTCTGTAAAAAAACGCATAGCTTATAGTTGAAAAACTTGAATAAAAAAATAAGAAAAATATTTAAATGTTGAACACATTTCTCTCAGTGCAGGGCTGCACTGACAACTGTCACTGGTTTTTGACACGATTTCTCTCTCTTTCTTTGCGGCGCATCGCGAGTTAAGCAAACTGCAACCAGAAACTAAACACTCGGGGGCAACCTTTACGACCTACAGCCCACTGCCCCCTGACCCCTTAACCCTTAACCCTTAGCCTCCCCGTGCAAGGCCCAAACACCCCCCCCAGCTAATGACTCATTAAATAACGCGCTGCACCAAGGGGTTAAGACGAAGGAGGTGGGGTGTGTGCATATTCATGAGCTTCGTGTTAAGCTGCCATTTTGACGTCGACTGTTGGCAGTGTTTACATAGCCGAAAAAGCCAAGCCAAGAACAGTGAGTGCACACACTAGTTTGAGTGTATGAATATGAATATGAGTATGAATATGAATCAAGCCATCAATCAGAGTGTGTCCCTGTCTCTGTGTCATTCGAGTGCGTCGCTCCGCTGCCACTTGACATGCATTCGAGCTTGATCTGCGAAACTCTGCCCAAATAACTGAAATGAATATGATCATAATTGATGGCCGGGGCGCCATTCGAGTATTTTGAGTGATGGAGTTTGATAAAATCAAGAGCTGCTTAGGCCCTTAATTGCAAATTAATTATTGCAAATGCGATTTTGCAAATAATTATCATATAACTATAAGAAAAATTAAAAGATTCTTAGAATTAAAACACTATATTTATAGATATAGATATATAGATATATATTGTTTATCTTAAATATACTCACAATTAATTCATTGTCCAGTATTCTTAAAATACATATAATTTTAGCGTTGCAATATTATTATTCCAGTTTGTTTGTTTATTTTTCGAAGTAGACATAGTCTTATATCCAAATATGAAATCCATAATTAAACGAATCGACAAGGTTGTCTGGGCCATTTCCCATATTTTGCTACCCCTGCCGTCCATTAATGTTGGCCAATTAATAATATGAGACATCACGCATACGCCACATATGCCAGATTTGCATCAGGACATGGCTCTCGCTTCCTGTTGAACCCTTTCCCCCCCCTTTCGGTTAACCCCCGTCCTTCACCTCCAAAAAAAGCCACAACGGAAATCGATTAGCCATCGACATAAAACCGAAACGAATGTTTATCGCTGATAGTTTTTGGGGTCGTAATTAAGAGGTCCTTCGGTTGGGGGAAGTTGCAAGGTTAAGGTAATAACACTTTTGCATGCCAGACAATTCACGAATTGTGGTAGAGGCTGCCACTTTAATACCTGTTTTAAAATGGAGAAGGACAAAAAATTACTATGAAACATGAAAATTCTAAAAACTAATTTACTCCTTTTAAGTTGGGTATCAAACAAATGCTTCCCTCACACATTTGTAAATCAGTTTACACCTTTAAATATGTTATAACTTATTTTTAACGTTTCTCAAATTTGAGTTTATTTTGTTCTTAAAACTTGTATGTATCAAATGTTTAAATCGACATCCGCAAAAATTCTTTTAATAATTTAAAAAATTATCCTCTCTTCTTGAAATTTTGGTTGTTTGTGCTAGAACAAAATTTAGTTTCGATCGTGATGCGCAAAATTCGTCGTCCGAATCCATCGAGCTTAAGTTCCGCCCCCTCCAAAGCACTTTGGCTGTTGATAAAAGCGAGTTAATGATTCGATGGAACGCTAAGCGCTAACGAGCAATAATCAAATCAAAAATACTTTTTACAAATTGCTGTTAAACAGCTTTTTTCCTCTCGCCGCAGTCTCATCTGAATTTTTATACAATTTGCGTGGCAGCAGAGTGAACAATTTTTAGCTTAACTCCACATTACATGGGGGTCCTTTCTTGGCCCCCACAAAACCAAACCAAACCACACACCTCTTAACTTGTTTGTTTGCGGCTTTTGCCATGTTGGCGTTCTTTTGCGTTTTCCATGCGCCCGCGCGTATCAATTATCGACTCGAATTTAGCCCTCCTTTTGGACGACTCGTCTTCCCAGCTTTTCCGTACCGCATTTTCCACCTTTTTTTTCGTGTTCGGTGAAATTCACAGCTAAGGCAGAATTAATAGTACTTGGGAAACATGGCTTTGTAATCTCAATGGAAAATAAAGTACATTAAAACGGGTTTTATTTAGGGAGTTGACATTTTCATTGACTTTTAATTTAGATATAATTTTTGATATATTATTCTTAATATTTTAAATGTTGTTTTTTAAAAAATTGAGATTCCAACAATTCAAGGGAGTAACACATCAAATATAATTTGCAATGCTATTTTTTCAGCCGCCACTGTATGTATGTTGCATACTTTCTGGCGGCGCTTTAAGTTCAAGTGCAAGTCAGCGGGGAAAAAGCGGAAAAAGTCTGCCATCCAAACTGATCCCATTTCAAGGAAGACAACAAAAAAAAGTGAATATAAAGCTTGGCTGGGGTGGAGAATTTCCATTTGACACTCAGCGAAGAAGACAAAATGCAACAATGGAGTTGAAGATAAAGCCAAAGGAGCTGCAAAGCAGTGCAATCTGGGAATGTGGAGGAAAGTACCAGGGGCATTGTCATTAGGGGTAAATTTATGGGCATTGGGAATAGTAAAAGCAGTAATTGATATAACCAATATTTATGCAAGTCAATTTTGCAAGTCTACCGTGTGAATTGGCAAAGGCAATAAAGCATCTGGGTTACAAAAGCAGACTTTATAATTATGTTCCTACATTTTTTATAGCATTTCTTAGTTCTGAGTATTTTAGGTTACTTACTATTAATTTCTTAATTACAAAAAATGTGAAATTTAAGAAATGTTTATTGACTATGCTCTATATTCATTAGACTTAATGAAAAAAAAATACATTTGAATAGTAAGTTACAAATTTTAAATAAATTTTTAGCTAGTAACATGTAAATTATAAAAATAAAAATTCATACTACCGAAAGCTGAAAACCGCTAAGGAAGAATAACAAATAATAAGAAAAACAAATAAGTGAAAGTGAAAGGTAAAAATCCCCAGCTGGACTTAAAAACCCAGCCCCTTCAATTTTCACCTTTATCAAGAAAATGCAAGATGGAAAAAATTTGTTTTCCGAGTTGCGGATTATAATTTGTTGTTTGTGCGGGGCGCAGTCAAAAGGATTAGGATCACACGTCTGGCCAAATAATTGGAGCCCAACAACCTTTGGCAGCCGAAATCCCTTATGTGCCCCCCGTCTGTCTTTCCACACTATTTGAATCTTTAATGTCAATAAGCGGCAGTTGGGAAATAAAAACAAACAGAGGCAGAGGCAAAGACAGAACCAAGCAACAAAAATCATATTTTCCCCCGTTTGCAAATTGACTTGAGGAGCGCCTTTCCATTCTCCTTTTTCTCCTGTCTGTCTGTCCGTCTGTCTGTCTGCCTGTCCGCAATGAAATTGTCAAATTGTTGCCCGGAATTATCCTCGCCTTCGTGTTGAAAATTGCCGAATGAAAAACTTTGGCGATTTGTGTGGGGCCCGAAAGTTGCTTAAGTTTTCGCCACTGCAGTTTCACATTAACTGACACATTCGCAATGACAAATTGTCGACTAACGGCGGCCAATGGCCCCAGTTTCAAAAAGAAAAGCAAATAATAAAATAAGTCAACATTTTAATTGTATGTTCATTTTCTCCTAGGAAATTAAAAATCACAGGAGTTTCTATCGAACATTATTCATGCTACATTTTTATTCTATAATCCTAAAAATAATTTCATAAATATGCATTCGATTTAAAAAGTTGTGTGGAAAATTCTTTAATAATCTTCACAATAATTTTGAATAAGCATTGTATAAAATATCATGTTAAATCTTTGCTAATTGTTTGCTCCTGAATTGGCTTTTACTTTAAGCTGCTCTGATTACGACACCCCATTTCCTCTAATGTTCACTTAACTTTTCTTTACTTTTAATTAGCCTCTGCTCGCGGCTCTTCTGTTTTTTACCCCAGCTCTCTTTGTTATCTATATCCCTCTGCGCGAGTTTTCCGGCTGCGCTTGTAATCAAATCCGCGTTGTGTCACTTTGTGTAGGGCTACGAAAAAAATATTATCCAAAAATATTTGTAAAATTGCTTAAGAGTCTTCTGCTGCTGCTGCTGCTGCTGCCGCTCCGTTGCTGCTGCCGCTCCGTTGCTGCTGCCGCTCCGTTGCTGTATGAAATATTAAGCGAAGAGTCGAGTCCGGCGGAAAAAAGGGTTCAAAAGGCCAACAAACATGCACAGGAAACTGTGGCTAACGAGGGGAGGGGATTTCTGTCACACAACAAACACCTAACAAACTTTTGCTTTCAAGTTGACGACGGACAGGGTGGTGTCGAAAAAGTGGTTACATGGGCCGGCGGAAGTCCTTGTTAAACTGCATCCGGTTGTCATCTAATTGCAGGCAGCCAAATCCATCTGACATTCTAAATATAAAATTCCCCACTTTTTATTTATTTGCAGAATGCCATGCCAACGAGTTTAGATGTAACGATGGACAGTGCATCGATGCCAGAAAGCGTTGCAACAACATCGAGGATTGTGCCGAGGGCGAGGACGAGGGCGAGGAGTGCCGTAAGTGATATATAAAGTCTGAAACACCTTTATCCAGTAGTTATTTATTTCTAAGGGTGTACTGTGATCAAACTAGGATATTAAGCTGCTTCTATTGTCTAAGATATAGGATAAACGGGTCCTCCGAATACCTTCGGTTGCCCAAACAGCTCTATTAATCTCTGTTTAATCGCCACTTTGATAACCACTGCCTTTTTGAGTATCTAAGTTAATAGTATCTAAATAAATGGATAATAAGGATGTAAAGTCCTTGGAAATCCATCGGTTAGCCTCAACCCTTTTGTAATCGTCATTTTGATAACCAACTATCTGATATAACAGCTAAGCTTTAATCATCTAAGTTGTAGTATAAATTGTCCTTCGAAATCCATCGATTAGCCAAAACCACTACTTACCCAATATTTTTTCTCTCGTTTAACCCCCACCACATGCTAACCGCTACCACTAACCCATACTACTAACAGCCGCCGCCTGCAGCGGAATGGAGTATCAATGTCGCGACGGCACGCGCTGCATCAGTGTGAGTCAGCAGTGCGACGGCCACTCCGATTGCAGCGACGGCGACGACGAAGAGCATTGCGACGGAAGTGAGTAGCAACCCATTAGACACCCATCAAAGTCCACATCCATCCAACAACCCTCGGATCTCAATATTTACACAGTGTGGCCAATTAGTCATCCTTTGGTATATGAGGGAATTAAATACAACAAACAGAGCGAACAAAAATACATTATAGATACTCTTTGAATATCCATTCGGAATTGTGATAGAGCATTAGCCATCTGAACTGATTTTTAATGCATATTTTCGAGGAAAATAAAATAAATAAATAAACGCTTTAAAATCACAACAAAATGTAAGCAGTCTTATCTATATTTCTCTATAGAAATTAATTCGAAAAATGAATAGGAAACCTTTTATCATAAACGGACAAACCCTTTCTTTTGTGTTTTATTAGGACTTTTAATAATTGGATTTGTTATCTTGTTTTAAATCCCATATACCAAAACAGTTGGCGACACTGCGTACATTAGTCACAGCTTTCTCTCACCATCTCTCCATTTGCTCATGACTTGCTATCTATCATCTCAATCTCTACTTAATGCTGCCTTGGTACAGTTGTGCCCAAGTTGCGATACACATGCCCCAAGGGAAAATTTACCTGCCGGGACTTGAGCTGCATTTCGATTGTCCATCGCTGCGATGGCCGAGCCGATTGTCCGCACGATCGATCAGATGAGGAGGGCTGTCGTAGGTGTTTCGATAAACGATTACTTAACCTCGATAATGGTCCGCCTACTCTGTCTATCTGTACTCTTTTTTACTTCCGTTCTCAAATGGGAATGCAGCCTGTCTTTACGACAAGTGGCAGTGTGACGATGGCACCTGCATAGCCAAGGAGCTACTTTGCAATGGCAACATCGATTGTCCCGAGGACATTTCCGATGAGCGCTACTGCGAGGGTGAGTAAATTTTGCGAATTGTTGCTCTTGGCTCTAAGAATTCTCCCTGAAGTAGTGGTAAGTTCATCCTTTTCCCAATCAATTCATTAAAGTCACCTCACACGAAAACCTCACCCCAAAAAACTAACAAACGCATGCTATCGATAAATATATATATATATCGATCGTCGTCGCCAGGTGGCTACGACGACGGGGAATGTCGGTTCGATGAGTTCCGTTGCGGAACCGGTGAGTGCATACCTATGCGTCAGGTGTGCGATAACATCTACGATTGCAACGATTATACCGATGAGGCCAACTGCGGTAAGAGCCTAACGTTATCGATTTGTATCGATAAGTTTAGCTAAATCTTGTGTTTATTCCTGCTCTGCTTTGTCGCTCTCTTCGTGGGTAACTAAAATCGATAATTGGTGTTGGTCCTTATCTATTCTATTCTCTGCCCTTTTTTATCTGCTGTCTTGTGTGTGCTCTTTTCGCTGATATCTATCGCTATTTGTGAGATAGCGACCTATCGAAATGTTTTTGTCAGTCGATACTTGTTTGATTTTGATTTTAACTCCAACCATTTTATTTTTCTTTTCCCCCACCCACCCGATAAAAATATGTTTTGAACTCCCCTGGTTGTGGTTATCGAATGCCCGAAATTAATCGATTAACTGCACGTCAACATATTTCGGAAAAAAACACAACCTGCAACAACGACGATCTACGAATTGGCTCAACGAAAATAATTAAACTTAAATGCATGATTTAATGAAAACAACCCCGACCCCCCACTTAACCCCAAAACCCCATGGCCTGCATGCGGCTGTCTATCGTAAAACGTTAAACCCCCAATCAAAAATAACAATCGGACCATAAAAGATGGTGGTGAATCCGAAGAGGAGGATAGTGTGGGCATTCCCATTGGCCACCGCCCCCAGAGACCGAAGCCCAAGTTCGATGACGGACTGCACGAGAAGGACATCTACGAGTACCATGTTTATCAGCCCAGTAATGTCTATGGGAAGGCCGATTCCCAGAATCCCTGTGCCAGCAATCAATTCCGTTGCACCACGACAAATGTATGCATACCGCTGCATTTGAGATGCGATAATTTCTATCACTGCAATGATATGAGCGATGAAAAGAACTGCGAGCAGTATCAACGACCCACCACCACCCGACGACCCTTGATCTGGGCCCCACATCCTTTCACCACCCAGGGCCCAGGCTTGCTGGAGCGTAACAACACCACTAGAACCACCGCCAGCAGCACCACCACAACCACCGAGGCGCCACCAATATGGCAATGGGCAACGAAAACGACAACCACCGAGACCACGACTACTAACCCAATAACAACACTTGGCGTAGCGAGTAGGTGTCCTTAAGAGTTGAAGAAAAGCTTAGCAATCTTAAGTGGGTTAAGGGTAACCAGGCTGCAACAAAATTATTGGTAAAACGAAAAAAAACTTAATATCAACTTATTCTAGCAGAAAAGATATCCTTTAAACAGGAATATCAGTAAAATTAAAAAAAGGTATGTCATCCCCCGGGAAAATTTTAGTTTTATCCAACAATTTTGTTGCACTGAAGACCGAGCATGAATGGATATGGTAATTGGTAATATTACCTTTTAAATCCAATTCCCGTTGATGGTTTAGGAAGCGTAAAGTTAAGTAAAAGTGCATGCGATGTTTGAAACATTGAAACCTACTTTAGCAATAACCAACCAGCACACACATACACACACACACACACGCGCACACACATACAATTTAGTTAGTTAGTTAAGCATTTAATTTTTAAACTCTTTTAATTGATATACCTCATATAGTTTATACTTGTACATATATGAACATCACTCACTCTTCCTCTCTTTTTTTCCGTTCCCGTTATGGCTTGTTTTATTATCATTGCGATTATACCATACTGCCCTGTTGAGTCACCCATCATCATCGCCATTCCTCAAACAAAAATATAATGCCACACACATATAGTCAACTCAGCACAGTCATGCCTCGAAAACATCGAATTCGCGTGCCACAATCGCGATTGCATTCCGATTGAGAGCGTCTGCGATGGCACCCCCGACTGTGGACACGAGGAAGACGAGGACTACGCTCTTTGCAACTGCAGCGGCGACAAGGTGAGCCAACCACCCACCGGCCGCCCACCAGAACCACCCACCCTCCAGATAGACCCACACATCCTCCATCCAAAATATATGCCCAGTGCTTGTTAGGTGAAACAATCCAATTAGAATTTCTTTACATTTGATAATAATAGATATCGTTTTCATATCAATTTAATAGTTGAATACAATTGATCGTTGATACGTTGATCGTTTTTTGACTAGCAAATAAGTTATTTTATTGGAATATACCCAAAGAATGTATTAAGCCTCAGATAAGCACTGTGAAGATATAAACACAACGTCCTACATCCCCACACACACTCACACACCAGTTAGAAGTGGGTATATCTATCTTTTGCGCCACCTCTAATACCTGTAGAAAACACACACCCATTCTCATGCTTTCTTCAGTACAAGTGCCAACGTGGCGGCGGGTGCATTCCAAAATCCCAGGTGTGCGATGGCAAACCTCAATGCCGCGACCGCAGCGACGAGAGCGCCTGCCGTAAGTACCATCTCTAGCATTCTCTATCACTCGGGGTTCGATAAATATCCCTAAAGAAAGAAATCTTTTTGTGTACTTTTGTGGAATTGCCATTAAGTGCTTTAAACATCCTTAAGTTTTAACGTTTGAAAATAGTTTGGAAAATATTAATAAAACAAGGGATATTTACGAGCCCTTTCTTTCTACTATCTTCTCTGTCCCAATATCGATCATCCCATCCCCGCTCTTTCTTAAAATCTTTTGGTTAAATTCACCCATTTAATCGTAAATCTAGTTTAAGTTTAAGTTCTCGTTCGAAGCTAACCTTGAATATTAAGTAGCTCCTTGCTAATTGGTTTAACTGCTTACTGCTTGTGCCAACCTACCGAATTTCCACCATTTCACAATCTCCTCCCCTCGTTTCGACTTTTGTTGCTAACTGTACTTTCTGTTTTGCTCTCTTTTCGCCAAAAAAAAAAAAAAACAACAAAAAAAACATCCCGTACAAAAAATCTATCCCGTATTTTGATACTCCGATACGTTATCTTGTGCTATCCCTGCTATCACACAACACACTACATCGCCCGCCTCCCTGTAAACCCCAAAACTCCAGATCTCCATGGAAGATTAAATAAAACTCGTTTGGGGGTCGAGTGCCTAGGAAGCCAATATCAGTGTGGCGATGGAAGCTGCATATCCGGCTACAAACGCTGCAACGGCATCACCGATTGCGCCGATGGCGCCGACGAGTATAACTGCATCTACAACTACGTCGATTCCAGTTACGGTAGTCCCACCCATTCATCTACTCATCATTCATATCTTACAGCAATGCGGTCGAAAAAAAAATGGTTCCTTGTGTCAAAGCAAAGATTACGATCTTAAGAGCAATTTAAATAGGTTTAAGTATCTGAAGAGTGAAGTCTTATGAAACCCTTAAAAATTATTCAGATTAATTAAAAAGTTTATTCCGTGTATGTATTTTAAATAATACTTCTTGAAGGTATTGAGAAACAACCAATGAATTGCTTTTAAGTTAAACCTCTTCTTAGACATTTCTCAAGAGCCCAACCATTTCAACCGCACCTGCATCTATCCGCCTGACTCTACAAATCTATCGATCTGTCTGCCGGACCCAGCCAATATACATATCATTTATCTTTTATCTTTCCAACTTTTCATACAACAAAAACACACAATCACAAAAAAAAAAAAAAAAAAAAAAACAGACAACGACCCGGACAACAATCCACTGAATGAATGTGATATCCTTGAGTTTGAATGTGACTACAGTCAGTGCTTGCCGCTTGAGAAGAAATGCGATGGTTATGTAGACTGTGAAGACGAGAGCGACGAGTTCGAATGTCAGTCGTACACAGGTAAAGACCCCCCCCAAAATCGGGGCTAACCTAATGGCTCCAGGTGCTAACTACCACTAAGCCTAATGCAACCACCAACCACTCGCTATCATGCACCACCAAACACACACTCACATTCACATTCGCATTCGCCTCATCATTCGCAGACCGTTGTCTAGAGTCCGAGTTCGAGTGCGATAGCTACTGCCTGCCCCGCGATCAGTTGTGCAACGGCATTACCAACTGCCAAGATGGCAGCGACGAGCGCAACTGTACTTTCTGCCGGGAAGATGCCTACCTGTAAGACCAACTATCCATCTAAACACCAAAACTCAGGAACTTATGTAGAAGAAAACAATTAATTTGATTGATATCGTCTATCAATGCAAGTAGCTTCAGTATTTTTTCAATCGATTTTTCTAGATTGGAAACAAAAAGTATCATTAATACAATGTAATTTAACCAAAGAAATTTTCAATATTTTATGTTTGTCGCATATCCGTGCATTTAAGTAGTTCTTAACAAACATACCTATTAAGAAAGCTGTTTGTGTCATATCCAGTTTATCAACGGTTAAAGTAATCAATTTATATTGTAAAACATAAAGTGAAAGCATTTAGTCCTTTTTTTTAAAGAATAAAGTTTTAGTTACATAAATAGGGAACAGTATCCTTAAATCAATAAGAAATCAAATATTAGCAGGACTGTTAGATCCATTCCGTTCTACTCCTTTCATATCATAATCATTTCTCTGCTCTTTCATGTCATGGCTCTTACTCTCCAACACACGACACAACACATAAACCACATCATCCACCATACAACTCGAACATCACTCACGCGACCATCGCTAACCGATATTCATCGTCCATCGCTATCAGTTGCAACACCGGCGAGTGTGTGGCTGATAATCAGAGATGCAACGGCATCGACGATTGCGCCGACGGCAGCGACGAGCGTCACTGCGGTAAGAAGTCCAAGAATCTAAACCATCGGTACCCCTGAGCCACCGACAAAAAAACCCAGGCCAAAACTCCCTGCACCACCCTAGAATTTAGTTTTAGTTTGCTGCTTCGCTTTTGGGTAGCTTGATTTGGTCTTAATTTAATCGATAGGCGTTAACTCGAGTAAATCTGCCTTGGGCCTTCTCAAACGAGTACTCAATCACTGATAACACATTGATAAAAAAGAGTCCTTCCTTGTCAATTCAGAGACCAATTTCTTGTGATGCTTTGCTATTTTCAACACGTTAATGCTACTCCCTATTCTAACCCTTTCTTTGACATTCCTACATTTTATGCTCCATCAAGCCTATAACCCAACATTCGTTTATCGTTTATCTTGTCTTGTCGTTCCATCTTTATGCTAACCCAATCACAACACCAACATCACTGCCAAACAACAACATCCACGCAACATATACAACACTCAATACTACAGAGACCAACAACCACTATCCCACACATAATGTGAATGTTATTGTCCAAAAAACGAGTCCTCCGAATCCTAAAACCAAACGCTGTCGCCCCAATGAGTGGCAGTGTGCGAATCTCGAGTGCATCGAAATAAGTTTGCAGTGCAATGCATTTAAGGATTGCTCGGATGGATCCGATGAGGACCTCAGCGTTTGCTTCGGCACCGGTAATCGAGTCAAATCTTCCAATTACACTTAATCTTTACGATACATATGCATATAATCAATCAAGCTTATACAATGGAGGTCAATTTGATCTTTTGCAAAAAAAAAAAAATATATATACATATCATAATCCATTATTCCTTGAAAAATAAGATCAAGTTGACAACCTTTTATAGGAATTGTATATATCATGCCATAGTTTAATAAGTCTCCGATTGGAATCAGGTTTGTATGTGGCTATAGACCTTAAGAGCTATCTAAACTAGGACATACGCATAATCATCCCGCTTTCTTATCTCTCTTTCTTGTTGCGTCATCCATGCATCCATTAAACCACCATACACAATGAACCCTGCATGATGTTACCGTCGATGCTATAAAACCATATATATATATAGCCACCAATCGACTAAAACCCAGTGACTGCAGTTCGGATCAGTTCTTCTGCGATGAGTCGTGCTATAACCGTTCGGTTCGATGCAACGGGCATTTGGATTGCTCCGATGGTAGTGATGAGGTTGGATGTTCCATGAAGTCACTGCCATGTCCACAGCACCAGTGTCCCAGTGGGAGGTGTTATTCGGAAAGTGAGCGATGCGATCGCCACAGGCACTGCGAGGATGGCTCCGATGAGGCCAACTGTAAGTCTCCGCCTCCGTCTCCATCGAACCATTTCCCATCTGCCTTTTCCCCCCTTCACTGTTTTATTGGATCACGGATCACTGATCGTGTATTGGCATTGTGGTTTTATCTGTGGAGGTCTTCAAAAAATACTCTTGGGTTGGGATGTCTTGGGTTCAACAGAAACCCATAAAATCTTTTGTTATTTAAGCACCTAATCCTTTTGTTCGTATCCGTAAACACAGCGCTTTTTTGAGCAGCACCAGTGTCAGTAAACATGAGTATCGTATTTGCATTTTGCACTTTTAAACACAGTTACAAAACCAAATTCCAATATCGTAACTAATTGTATAGTTTAATTCAAAAATATTTTATTAATTTGATGAGTAAATATAAATATAATGTTATTAAAATTTTGAACAAAGAAAGCTTAAAGCAAATACCGTAAATACACATTTTAAAAGAAACTTGCGAAAATTATTTAATGTACAGTTATTTCTCCGAACTTAAATATCAAATATCTTTTTTGAATATCGTGTTTTTAATTTTTCTTATACTTTTTAATGTAAGATATAAATTTAACGAAAATGAATAAAAACCGAATAATATGTTACGCCTAAAACTTAAACTTAATAAAATATATATTTTTTAATTGATGTATTAATATATATATATTCTATAAGGGTCCAGTTTATGCATTCCACCAACATCGTACTGCATCCAATATGAATATCGTATGTGTTTTTTCATTTGCTAATCTATTTATCTCTATTCTCCGTCTCTCACTCCGTTTCTCTTTCTCTCACGCTTTCTCCACTCTGCTTTTGGTCGTGTGATATTTTCTTATTTTACGTTATTATATTTCACCTGAATTTGGTTGCACCACCAAAACCATCCCAAACCACCAAATATCGTATACAGGTACTGCCATCCTGTGCAAGGAAAATGAGTTCCTCTGCTTCGATCGCCAGTTTTGCATAAATTCAACGCAGCATTGTGATGGCTTCTACGACTGCCGTGATTTTTCCGATGAGCAGAATTGCATTGGTTAATAAAACAGCAATCGATTTGATTTAATATTGGTTTTTAAAATAGTTTGCCCTAGCTGTAGTTGCCCTAGTACTATCAAAACTTTTTAATATTTTTAAAAAGTAATGAACATTATTATTGATAAAATGCATTCAAAACTATAAATTATTTGGGAAAACAATTTTTGCAGTTAGCATTCTTATTATTCTTATTTATTGGAACCACCAGAAATTAAGTTATTTAATTAATAAATAAGAATTTATATTTTGTTATCTAAGAAATTCATCATTGCTATATTTTCAGTGGTGGTGATTTTAAATTTTAAGTTTGCCTTAAGTCAGCCTGCATGCGTTGAACATTGTGTGCACTGTTTTATATACTTTTTGTTTATATTAATAACTATCAATCCGAAATTGACCTTACACTTTCAGCAGTTTTAGTGAATTAAAATCTGATATTTTGGAGACCCGTATTTGACCTAAATTTTTGGCTTAACCCACAGGCTGTGCCCCGAGTCAATACCGTTGCCGAAACGGAGACTGCGTTGCTGGATCGGCTGTCTGCGATGGAATCCCCCAATGTAGCGACAATTCCGATGAACTCAACTGTGGGGGCGGCCAGGAATGTCTGCCCAGTCAGTTCAGATGTAATAGTGGCCAGTGCGTGAGCTTGGGAGCACGTTGCAATGGACGATCCGACTGCCAGGATGGCTCCGATGAACATATTTGCGGTAAGTAAGGGCATTAAGTGACACCCCTGCAAATCAGCCAGGATCCGACGCCATCATCGCCATAGCTCGAACATTGCATCATTCACTCGCTTATGCATATATATGTAAAGGTCATCATCAAGTTGAGGTCACCCAAGGACCCACTGGAAGTGGCACCACTTCTACTAGCACCACTGCCATGACGCCACTGAGAATCATCTGCCCACCAACCTCATTTAAATGCGACAATGGGCCCTGTATTTCGCTGGGTCTACGATGCAATGGACGGATCGATTGTCCATATGATGAAAGCGATGAGGTGGATTGTAGTCATGTCAGCAATGAGATTGATAGTAAGTGGGCGATCTACCAAGAGACCGAGATGCCCATAACCAATGATATTAAATAACTGTCTGACTTTCCCTAAAGAACCTACTAACAGCGATTGAGGGCTAGGGCTAACACACATCCACACATCTATCTTATTCTTCTAATATCCTGATTCACTTTACCATATCCTATAGATAGCCCTTACTTTACCCAAAGACTAACTCTGAATTTCTTTCAATTCCTCGAAAACAACAGACAACTTTAATAACCCTGGACGTGGATCGAACCAATTGAATCTCAAGACCTACCCAGCCGCTCAGATCATCAAGGAGAGTAAGTATCCCAATGGGCAATTCTCCATGCTCCATTGTTCCTCGTACATATATCTAAAAGTATTACAAAAATATATCAATCTTGTGTCTGTTAAATGTTCTGGGAGCAATTATTTAAACTCAATTTTCGTTGTATTGATATTTTAAAATATTTTTGGACAACCCTAATTGCCGTTCTTTGTTCTCGTTAATGCTTAACCCAATTCAATTCTATAAACCAAAATAAAATATATAAACCGCAGGATATATTAGGGAGGGTAAGTTGGCCTAACTACAATCACTATATGCATACGTGTAGACAATATTTCGACTAGCACTTGGAACCCAGCACCACCCGCACCACGAAACTGCACGAAAAATCTGGCCAGAAGTGGAGTTGTACATTGAGTCGAAATTTTGAAATCACAAAATCCTTAGAGAACGAACCCCTTTATAGCTTTGAATATAGTTGTATTATTTGTTAAAGAGTATTATATGTATGTGTGGATTTTTATATACAAAAATTGTTGGAATATTAAATGAAAAAGATTTATCCTCGATTTCTATAAATTTAAACATTTGTTGTATTCATATTTGGTATTATTTGTATTTTAATTTGCTACTTATGTACATTGATAAATTCCAACATGAATATCATAAAAGTAAATCCCACCTATATCAAAACCCTATTTCTTTTGCTCGTCAGCTGTTTACCGATTGCGTTTGGCACCAAGTTAATTAGATTTTGTGCTCCCCTCACAGGTCGCGAGGTCGTCTTCCGTTGCCGTGATGAAGGTCCCACTCGCGCCAAGGTCAAGTGGTCTCGTCCCGGTGGACGACCTCTGCCCCCCGGATCCAAAGATCGCAACGGTCGCCTTGAAATTCCCAACATTCGGGTAAGTCACCAATTTTTAACCATACTATTAGGTCATGATTGAATCAGTTAAAATTTATTTATCAAATAGGTTGAGGATGCTGGCACATATGTTTGCGAGGCTGTGGGTTTTGCCAACTATATAGCCGGCCAGCAGGTCACCGTGAACCTCAATGTCGAACGCTGTAAGTACAAGTCTAGATTTAAGTGAGTCCTAAGGCTGGGTTTTCTAAGGAAAAAAGGAAATCTGTATAATCCAAACAAGCAGCCTGGGGTGAACACAAGTATGAGGAGCTACGCTCAAATCGCATAAGATATGGTACTGTGCCACACATTGATCTTGAGTTTTTTGGACTAGGTAGGGTTTCATTTAAAGTTGCTTTAGGGCTACAGCCCTCCAACGAAACTTGACTTACACATTTTTATATAACTTTTCTCTTCCCATTTTGCCACTTGGCTCTGTTATTGGTAAGCTGAAAGGCGCTTTAACCTTTCGCAGACCCTCATTATAATTATTTTTTCCGTTCCTCTACTTTCCTCTGCTCAGATAACGACTTGTCATCCCGCCCGAGCTCAGCCTGCTCTGAACACCAGTCCACGTGCATGAACGGCGAGTGTATTGATAGGACGGCCATCTGCGATGGAACTCCAGACTGCTCGGATGCTTCCGATGAGCAGAGCTGCAGTTTGGGCCGCAAGTGCCAGCCCAACCAGTTCATGTGCGCCAATTCGAAGTGCGTGGATCGCACCTGGCGCTGTGATGGACAGAACGACTGCGAGGATAATTCCGATGAGACCTCCTGCGATCCGGAACCAAGTGGCGCTCCCTGCCGATTTAACGAGTTCCAGTGCCGCAGTGGTCATTGCATCCCCAAGAGCTTCCAGTGCGACAATTTGGCGGATTGTACTGACGGTACCGATGAAGTTGGCTGCAGTGAGTATCCGTAGAATAAGTACCGTTTAAGTATGAGCCATTTATGATGGAATACCCTTGATCTCCAATATCCGCAATGAAGGATCTGTTGGAATATTGGTCCTTCATGGCGGATATTGGGAATCAAGTTTTAATGCATTTTCGCCATGTTAACCCGAAACTCTTTCGCAGTGAAACCCATGCCGATTCGCCCGCCACCCCCATCGGTATCCCTGCTGGAGTTCGAGGTGCTCGAACTGACCTGCGTGGCCACCGGAACCCCAACACCGACGATCGTGTGGCGTTTGAACTGGGGCCATGTGCCCGACAAGTGCGAGTCCAAGAGCTACGGTGGAACCGGAACTCTCCGCTGTCCGGATATGAGACCAAAAGACAGTGGAGCTTACTCGTGCGAGATTATCAATACGCGCGGCACTCACTTTGTGAACCCGGACACCATTGTCACCGTGACGCCACAACGCACGGACGTGTGCAAAGCTGGATTCTTCAATATGCTAGCCCGCAAATCAGACGATTGCGTCAAGTGCTTCTGTTTCGGAGTGGCCAATTCCTGCGATAGTGCCAATTTGTTTACCTATGCCATTCAACCGCCGATCGTGTCGCACCGCGTTCTTAGTGTGGAACTGAGTCCGCGTCGCCAGATTGTGATCAATGAGGCAGCTCCGGGTCAGGATCTGATCACCCTGCACCATGGCGTTCAGTTTAGGGCCTCGAATGTTCACTTTGCTGGTCGGGAGACGCCCTACTTGGCATTGCCTTCGGACTATATGGGCAACCAGTTGAAGTCCTATGGCGGAAACTTGAGGTACGAAGTTAGCTACATGGGCAGTGGAAGACCAGTCAATGGTTCAGATGTCATCATCACCGGCAATCGTTACACTATAACCTATAGTGTTTACACACAACCTGGTCAAAAGAACAAGGTTAAAATTCCGATATTGCCGGGAGGATGGCTGAAACCCGATGGCTACAAGGCCACGCGCGAAGAGATCATGATGATACTGGCCAATGTGGATAATATTCTGATACGACTGGGCTACCTGGATAGCACCGCTCGCGAGGTGGATCTAATAAATATTGCCTTGGATTCGGCTGGAAGTTCGGACCAGGGATTGGGTAGTGCCTCCCTCGTGGAGAAATGCTCGTGTCCACCCGGTTATGTGGGTGATTCCTGTGAGACCTGTGCCCCTGGCCACGTCAGACAGCCGGGAGGACCCTGGCTTGGTCAGTGTGTGCCCTTCATTCCGGAACCCTGTCCATCCGGAACGTTTGGCGATCCACGACGTGGTGTGCCCTGCAAGGAGTGTCCTTGCCCCCTGACCGGTGGCAATAACTTTGCCAGTGGCTGCCAACAGAATCCCGACGGCGATGTCGTATGCCGATGCAATGAGGGCTACGCGGGCAGGAGGTGCGAATACTGCGCATCTGGCTACCAGGGTAATCCGCTGGCTCCGGGAGGAGTTTGTCGCCCGATACCCGATACTTCGTGCAACGTTGATGGCACCTACAACATCCAGAGCAACGGAGCTTGCCAGTGCAAGGATAAGGTGATTGGCGAACAGTGCGACACGTGTGCGGCGAAGAGCTTCCACCTCAATTCGTTCACCTACACTGGATGCATCGAGTGCTTCTGCAGCGGAGTGGGAGATGATTGCGATAGTAGTACGTTGTATCGCGACCAGGTGACCAGCACCTTTGGACGTTCGAGCGTCAATCATGGCTTCGCTTTGGTTACCGACTATATGCGTGCCACCCCGGAGACCATAGCCGTGTCCATGGCCGTGGTGCCCAATGCGCTGAGCTTTGTGGGATCGGCGGATCATGCCGGGGACACACTCTACTGGAGTCTGCCGGCCGCGTTTCTGGGCAACAAGCTGACTTCCTACGGCGGCAAGCTGAGCTACACTTTGAGCTACAGTCCCCTACCCAGTGGCATAATGTCCCGCAACAGTGCCCCGGATGTGGTGATAAAGAGTGGCGAGGATCTGAGGCTCATCCACTACAGAAAATCACAGGTTAGCCCCAGTGTGGCCAACACCTATGCCGTCGAGATCAAGGAGAGCGCCTGGCAGCGCAGCGACGCAGTACCGGCCAACCGTGAGCATGTCCTGATGGCCCTCAGCAACATTACGGCCATCTACATTAAGGCCACGTATACCACGAGCACCAAGGAGGCCTCGTTGCGTCAGGTGACTTTGGACACTGCCACGGCTACGAATCTGGGCACAGCGCGTGCCGTCGAAGTCGAGCAGTGTCGCTGTCAAGAGGGCTATGTGGGTACGTCCTGCGAGCGGTGTGCTCCTGGTTACGCCCGCGATCCGGAGGGTGGAATCTATCTGGGATCCTGCCTACCCTGCGAGTGCAATGGACATTCGAAGTATTGCAACGCCGAAACCGGGGACTGCGAAGTGAGTATTCGGCTCGAAGGACCAATTTCCATACCCTTAGTAACCGCACTAATTCTCCCTTTTTTTTCAATTTGCAGAACTGTTCTGACAACACCGATGGACCCAACTGTGAAGTATGCGCCGCCGGCTATGTTGGCGATGCCACTCGCGGAACTCCGTACGACTGCCAACTCGATGAGGTCAATCCGCCGCCGCGTCCGCTGCCACCGGGCAATCACACATTTGACTGTGACGTATACTGCGATTCTCACGGAACATACGCTTGCCGCGACAACTACTGCCAATGTAAGACGAACGTGATTGGGGATCAGTGCAATGAGTGCCGTCCCGGAACCTACGGACTGTCCCCCGAAAATCCGGACGGCTGCAAGGAGTGCTACTGCTCCGGAGTGTCCAACCAGTGCCGTTCGGCGTCTCTGTACCGCCAGCAGATACCCGTGGACTTCATTCTCAACGCACCCCTTATCACAGATGATAACGGAGATATTTTGGACACCCAGAACCTAGAACCCGACTTAGCCAGTAACATGTACACCTATTCGCACACCAGCTACACGGAAAAATTCTGGAGCCTCAGGGGCAGCGTGCTGGGCAACCAGCTTCTGTCGTACGGCGGCCTCCTGAGTTACACCCTAGTGGTGGAATCCTTTGGCAACTATGCGCCTGGCCAGGATGTGATCCTGATTGGCAACGGAGTCAAGCTGGTCTGGTCCAGTCCCGACGGACGTGGCGATCGGGAGGAGTACAGTGTGCGACTGCACGAGGACGAACAATGGCAGCGCAAGGATCGTGGATCGGCACGACCGGCATCCCGCTCGGACTTCATGACTGTGCTAACAGATCTGCAGCACATACTGGTCCGAGCCACGCCCAAAGTGCCCTCGACAAGGACCTCGATCGGCAATGTCATTCTAGAGAGTGCTGTCACCACCAGAACGCCGGGAGCTACGCATGCCGTCGATCTTGAGTTGTGCCAGTGCCCAACCGGATATTCGGGCTCGTCCTGTGAGAGCTGCGCACCACTCTACTACCGCGACTCCAGCGGCTCCTGCAGCCTGTGTCCTTGCGAGGCCTCCAACACCGAGTCCTGCGATTTGGTTAGCGGCGGCTATGTCGAATGCCGGTGCAAGCCACGCTGGAAGGGCGATCGCTGTCGCGAAATTGGTGAGTGGATGGAATGGTGATAAGAGTCAGAACCCCAACGTGCAATTCGTCTTTCCATCGCTCTCCCTTTGCTCAATCACTGACTTCCTGGCCCAACTTCGGCATACGAAACTACATTGAATACTTTCCAGATACGGTGCTCGTACTCTATGCGATATCTTAAGTGCAAGTTCGAGTGTCAGGGTATACTGTATTCATGAAGATGTACTGCCAGAATGAAACCTTTCCTATTCCCTAGTCTTTATGAGCCTTAAATACCTACTCAGATTTGGCCAAAGAATCGCCTGGTCGAAAATAGGCCTGTCCGTTGTAAGAATCAGATCTCTGAAACTTCAAGAACTTGAGGAGAACCCTTTGGTATGCAAGGTACTGTTGTACTGACAAGTGCATACAAAAGGCTTTTCAAGACATTTAGTCTTTCTTTAAGCCAACACAAGTGATGTTGTCCCTGGCCAATTGCTAAATCTGAGTAGTGAGTATTACAAGATCGGATTAACCGATTATTAAGTTCTTACCTGTTTTATTTACTTTCTCCTCTCTCTCGGACTTTGTTTTTGTCATTCCTCTTCCTCCGTCATCAACTCTCAAACCGTTTGTAAACAACAATTTGAAAAAAAAAAAAAACCAAAATTTAAAATTGCAATCACCAAAACCAACAAACATCCCATCCATCCACATTCTAGACACATCGCCCATTATCGAAGAACCGCCCCAGATATGTGATTTAAGCAGGGGATTCTGTTGCAGCGGCTTTCAGTTCGATATCGCACCGAACGAGACAATATCGTATAATGACACCCTGCAGATATATAAGGGCAACAGAATCATAGGAAATATGACCAAGCTGCGCTACGGCTGTCCATCGCGAGGTTCGCTCCAGACTCTTCGATCCACCGAACTGAACCACTGAAAAGCACACTGCCGTCTACAAAACACACCACAACTGTTGCTTTCCTAATACTCTACTCGTACCTCTATCTCGTATCTCGCACACCAGCACACCTAAAACTCCATTCTACACTCTCTACTTTTAAGTATCTTCCCAGCTTAGATATGTGTAAAGAAACTGTGTGTGTGTAGAGCGAACCTAACTCGTATCTCGTATCTTGTATCTCGTATATCTGTGACCTAAACCCCAAGTAGACCAAGTGGGATATTATTTCCCAGAATCTTGTAATTGGGTTAGCGCTCCTGTATTATCTCTGCCTCTGCCTCTCCTTCTTTGACTCTGTGTCTGATCTTCTGGTGATCTAAAAACCACTTAGCTAGTCTATGTGTCTTAGTACTTGTCTTACCCCAACAGTAGTTTTTGTTATCTGTGACAGATGCCGAGCTATTACCTCTGATCCTCCGAACCCCACTTCGTGCAGTCCATCGATAACTATCTTGTCTCTCTGTCTATATGTGTATTATATCTTAGCTGCCAGTCTATAACGTCAGCGATCGCAAAGCCAAACCAATATTGGCCCAGAAACACGCTCAAGTAGACCATGAAATTACCATATAAATTCATAGCCACTAATCCAGGTCTAGAAACCATAGTGCGATTCATAACTTTTGATCGTAAAGGGACAGAGGTTAATTTAAACTTGACTAACAAGTAACTTTGTTGTTTACAATCATAGACTACCGATCGATTACTTCTTATACGTAAATAAATAAATTTACTGATTAAGTTTTACATACTTTGAAATATTTAATTGGGTTTTTCTTATAATACAAGACTACCTCTTCATTGTTGATAAATTACTTTTTTTTACTACCACATTAATCAAAACAGAACCCTTTAAATTATAATGAAAAATAACACTAACCCTTTAATTAACTTTGAAAGTTTTGAACGCACTATCTCCATGTTTGTAAATCAATCTGTCGCCTAACCCTCGAAACTGTAGGTCAATCAGAGTTATCTCCAAATCGGAATGGAGACTCCGAAAACCAAAACTAAACCTTTAATTCAATATCCTGACATTGTGCTCCCGAATAGGAGTTATTAAACCGCAACCACCTGTCACTAACACACTCTGAAGAGCTCTTTTCACGACCTGAGTTTTTCATTTGAGGCTTTTGGTATTTTCAGAGAGTGTGAAAACAATCAAAATCAAAAATCAAAAAACATAAATACCAAAAGCTCAGAAAAGCTGGGCTGTCGTGTAAAGAGGTCCCTACTCACACACCGTAAGGAACTCAGATTGTGGGAAATTACTGGGGTGCTAAAGCATATGCCTAATCGATTTTTCCCGCTACCCTAGAAACTAACGATCCTACGGTAACGGATCCCAATACCGAAGATCCCGTACGGACCCAGATCATTGTGTCGATTGAGAAACCGGAGATTACTATCGTGCCCGTGGGCGGATCGCTGGTCCTCAGCTGTAGCGGTCGGATGCGCTGGAGCAATGTGAGTTCTAAGTTTACGCATAATCTTTATTGAGATGTATACCATCTAGCGATTCTGATATTAACATTCTGTTTTGATTATAGGATCCAGTGTATGTGAACTGGTACAAGGAGAACAGTCGCATGCCAGAGGATCACGAAGTCAATGGTGGTAATCTGCATCTTTTCAACCTGGACATCAGCGATTCTGGAGTCTACATTTGCCAGGCCGTTAGCAAGGAAACCAACCGCGTCTTCAAGGATTCCGTCTCCATCACCATAACCCGTGAGTATTTGTTCTGTACCTAATTGTATCCATACTTTATCGTTCCCCTAATCTAAAAAACAAAAAATGCTGCATTATTCAAAGGATATGCCCAGGAAATGCTGGCTCGCTATGGTATTTAAAGCTTTCAAACTAAATAAAGAGAAAAAGTTATATTATGCTTTAAGACTACAATGATTAGTATATATATATATATATATATATATATAAGGGTGTTACAGGAATCTCTATTAGATTTGGTCTTCCAGAGAGATTTCTGTGGCACTTTCGTTTCTTTCTTTTCAACTTAAGACTATGCTGACCTGTCCTATCTCTGTCTCTTTAATTTTAAACTCACTCCTTAGCGGTGGACCAGCGCTCGCCGGCTCAGATTGTGAACTTGCCCCACGATGTGACCTTTGAAGAATACCAGCCCAATGAGATCGTCTGCGAGGTGACAGGTAACCCGGCACCCACTGTCACCTGGACACGAGTGGATGGACAGGCGGATGCCCAGAGCACAAGAACGTACAATAACCGCTTGATCTTCGAGTCGCCAAGGAAATCGGATGAGGGTCGCTATCGCTGCCAGGCGTACAATGAACTGCACCGCGTTGAGCAGTATGTCATCGTTTATGTGCAGAGCAACACTCCCCAGCCGCCGCCGCCGCAGGATCGTTTGTATATCCAGCCGGAGGAGGTTAATGGCTATGAGGGCGAATCTTTCCGACTATCCTGCCAATTTACAAGCGGTGCCTCTCTGCACTACGATTGGTTACTCAACGGCAGCCCCCTGTCCTCTTCGGCCCCGCGAAATGTCCAGATCAATGGCAATGTCCTGGAGGTACGCGATGCCAGTTACCGCGACTCTGGAATCTACACCTGTGCGGCCTTTGATCAACGCACCCGCCGCAACCTAACCGCGGACGCTCGTGTAAACATCGAGCCACGCGAGGAACCACCAATCGATGATGGGTGAGTTGTCAGTTTCCTCATCAGACGCACATTAACGAAAAGAACGCCAATCTACAGCTGCGGTCAAAATAATAACATATAAACAAATTTTAAAAAAATCTATTTTATTTCTTGTGATGTTAAAATTTTTAAAAGTTGTTCCATTTTAAAGGAACTTTTAACACTTCTAATATTTCTTTGTACAACTAAAACCACATCAAAGTTCTTGTTTTGTATTTATTTTGAGCACTTAAGAGTCTGACATACCTTTGACTTTGCTTACATCCCACAGCGCCAAGCCAAGGATTGTGCCATTGCCGGAGAATGTGAACATCATTCAGGGCCAGGATTATAGCATCACCTGCGAGGCCAGTGGAACGCCCCATCCCTCGATCAAATGGGCCAAGGTGCACGACCAGTTGGCCGTCAATGTCCACATCAACAGCAATACGCTGACCATCTATGGAGCCCGGCCCGAGAATCGAGGTCCCTACTCTTGCTTTGCCGTTAACTCCCACGGAACTGAACAGTCTAGCACAAACATCGATATTGAACGTAAGTTTTCAGGGATCCACGACCTTAGTACGCTTGTATCTCAAACTAAGCTACCTTGGCTGGTGCGGTTAAAGAACATTAATAATTCGTAAACATCTTTGACCGCAACTCCTTCTAAAAAATATTCCTTCACCCCAAGAAAAAGTTCCCATGCTAACGATGCCTTTGCTCTATTTCGTCTTGTTGTCTCTCTTCCCTCACAAACACTGATTATCTTGCCCCGAATATTATTATTTAAACCCTTTAAACCCCTGACCCCACTCTGTTTGATCTAAATTAAAACTTAAAACTTTGCCATGCAAGTGCACAAGAGTGGAGTTGGTAATAAGACAGGTCCGCACACTCTGATCCTAATACTAATTGGTGCCACCACTGTCGTTTACTTGTTTGTAGCCCGGGAGCGGCCTAACATTAGGATTCAGCCGGAGACCCAGCAAACAGTTCTGGTCGGCGGGCAGGCTGCCATCTACTGCACCGCTCACGGTATTCCCGAGCCGACCGTCGAGTGGGTTCGAGTGGACGGCCAACCGCTGACGCCGCGTCACACGACCAGAGAAGAGCCCGGCTATATGATGTAAGTACTCCAATCTACTTCCATCTTCATTTTTGTTACCCAGAATAAACGATTAAAAATTTGAAATTTGAACAAAAAAAAAAAAAAATAATTCTGAACAAAAGAATTTTACAACATTTTTTCTGAATTATATATTAATAAATTATATATTTTAATTAAAACAAAAAACAAGAAAGAAAGCAAACTTCGGCAAGCCGAAGTTCATATACCCTTGCAGCTATTGCAAGAATTAAACATTTTTGAAAACATTAAAATTATGATTTACTTGCGTATATGTTTAAAAACATTGAAGCTATGATGATTTGCAGCTCAATTATTTGATAGTTATTTTATTTATTTTTATTATTTCTATGGGAGCTATATGATATAGACGTCCGATTTTGATAAAATTTAAACCATTCTGAAATATTTAACCATTGCTATATGTCGAAGAAGTAAACAAAAAATTGAAAAGCAGCAAAGTTATAATTTTTTTCATTTATTTTTCCGATTGTTCCTATGGGAGCTATATGCTATAGTCGTCCGATCCGGCTCGTTCCGACTTATATACTATCTGCAATAGAAAGACAACTTTTGGGAAAGTTTCATGCAGATAGCTTTAAAACTGAGAGACTAGTTTGCATATAAACGGACGGACAGACGGACGGACAGACGGACATGGCTAGATCGACTCTACTAGTGATGCTGATAAAGAATATATATACTTTATAGGGTCGGATTTTTGTAATTCGAATTTGTTTTTATACATATAATTAAAATATTCATATTATATTTTTCCTTGCAGAATCGAAGACATTCAGGTCGCTGATGACGGCCAGTACGAGTGTCGGGCGAGAAATATTGCTGGCGAGGCCACCGGAGTGGCCTCCATTGTCGTCCATGAGCGACCTCTCGTGCAGCTAAGCACCGAACAGCAGACCCTTCGACTCACCGAAGGCGACGAACTGTCGCTGAGCTGCGTGGGTAGCGGTGTGCCCACTCCGACTGTTTTCTGGACCCACCCCGAAAGGAGAGGTTCCACTGGATTCCTGGGACCGCCATCCACGAACACTGCCAACGTCCAGATCTACCGAGTCACACTGGAGGACGCCGGCGACTACACTTGCCACGGATCCAATGCGGTGGGCGAAGATGATAAATCCGTGCGCGTGGAAGTTCAGCCCAAACGGGGCGACATCGGAGGAGGTGAGTCCTTTCAGCCAGGATATGTTTTAAAATAACAATCGACAAATACTCAGTCATAGAAATATCAATATAAAAAATTCATTATTATTATTATTTATTTTTATATAAAATTTTTTTTATTGTCTTTTTTTCTAATCAAATTTCAACAGAAAGTTAAGTCTTTTTCTACTTTTCGTTACTATAAATCTTTAAATGTTCCAATATCAAATAAACAGTATGTTAGTTAATTATAAATAAAGTTGTACAGAACATACTACACACAAAGAAAACTAAAAAACCATATGAACTAAATAGAATCAAAATGATTTACATTTTTTGGAAACATGACGTGAGAAAAACTACCAAAAATGACCTTAAATCCCATTTTGATCATTTTTAGGTCATTTTTTTTTTGTGTGTTCTCTGAGTGTATACAATGCAGAGGTTGCTACAACAACAATTTGCTTATGTTTAGGGTTTTCACATTGCTTAAAAAACTGCAACAATATATTTTAAGTCTGTGAGTTCGTGTTATTCATTCCCAAAGACGACGTTCTTTTTTCATTGCATACTTTGAAAAACATTTATAGTCTTTTTTTTATCCTATTAAAAATGTATATATTTCAACAATAAACAAGTTTACTGCTACCTATGTGACAGCTCGAACAGGTTGTAATTCCTTAGGCCATTTCAAAACCACGTTGATTTCTATGGCACCCGCGATAGTAAGGGTTATTTATGCAAGGCTAGCCGAATGTTAATGCTGCTCTTTATTGGTTTATTTACAGACGATACCGATGTGGACGACTCCGTTCCCCGCCGACCAACTTACAACACGCGCCCCTACACCCAACCGCCTGGTCGCAACGAACAGCTGTCCACCGAAATTGGCACCAATGTGACTCTGAGTTGCGACGCTATCAAGGGGTTGAGCTCGTATTGGGAACGCGTTGATGGCGCACCCCTGCCTCCAAATGCCCACGCGGAGCACAACAGTCTGGTGATTGTGTTCGTGCAGCTGCAGAATCTGGGCCAGTACCGCTGCAACGGAGTCGGAAGCGATGGCCGTGTGGAGGCCTCTGTGGTGAAGGAGCTGGTCCCGCTGCCCCTGCCCAGGATCACCTTCTATCCCAGCATTCCGCTCAACGTGGAGATGGGACAGAATTTGGATGTGTACTGCCTGGTGGAGAATGTGCGTCCGGAGGATGTGTATTGGAGCACCGACAATAATCGACCACTGCCCAGGTGCGAATATAAAAAGGACAATTGGTTTACTGTGTCCCTAACCTAACTTCTCTTTTTTTTTTTTGTTTGACTTTTCCAAACTCCAGTAACGTTCGCTTCGAACACAATGCCCTGCGATTTGAGTCCATCACTCAGGCCGCTGCCGGAGATTACCGCTGCTCCGCCTTCAACCAGTATGGAAACAGGTCAGAGACCGCCAAGGTGATGGTGAAGAAACCCGGTGGCTTCCAGCCAGTTCCGCAGTCCCAGTTGCAGCAGCACCGCGAGGGCAGCACCATCCAGCTAAGATGCAGTCTGACCACCCAGTACGGCGGCGAGGTTCGCGGCAATGTCCAGGTGAATATACCACTAAACAGTTATCTTCAAAAAATATTCAGAAACCCTAACCATCTATAAAACGTGTCAATAATACTGTGAAAAATGTAAATGCTTCTTACTGGTGCTTAAAAATCTACTAGAAATTCGCTGCTTACAGTTTTTGATACATTTTTTAAGAAACAATTTAATAGTAAACAATCTCATTTTTCGACTTGATTAAAGCTAACAACATTACATAATTATATAGGAGATTTGGTTGCTAAAGTCATTTGCAAATATCTGCAAACAGAACGATTTTCGGAAATATTTCGTTCCGCAACCAACTTAAAAATATAGTAACAAGAACCATTATATTAAGGGATTAATGATCGACCGAATTGGGTGTTACTCGTTACAGTTCCACTGGTACCGTGAGGATGGCAGTCGGTTGCCGCACAACGCTCGTCCGGACAGCCAGGTGCTGGTGCTGACCGATTTGCGACCCGAGGACGAGGGCCGCTACATCTGCAATTCGTACGATGTGGCCAGGAGGCAGCAACTGCCCCTCGTCTCCATCGACTTGCAAGTACTAAGTGAGTAATCGCAACGCGTTAGGTTTTCGGGGCCCGGGACTCCGCCTCCGGCTCAGAGTTGGAGTCGGATCCGCCGGTCCGCAGTCAGAAAGAAGATGTCCTGTCCGACAGCAACCTATCTCCCATCTCTCCCCCCGAAAAAAAACCCCCACCAAAACGAAATACCCACTACCCAATGGGTTTACACTACATTAAAAGAAGAAATTTGAACAAAATCTTTGCTAGGCCATTTCGCAAGTAAAACAAAATAAGTAAAAGATCCCAAAAAAAAAAAAGGAAAAATATAAATCTATAAATCTATAAGAAAAGGAAGAGTTTTCAAGGATTAGGCTTTGTTTAAGCAGGTTCGATCTTTCGCTGATTTTACTAATTCCACTTTATATATATAAATATATAAATATGAATACTTCTATATATATACACATCAATGTAATCGTATCTGTTAAACTAAACTTAAAAATTCGACAAACAGCAAAAGCACGAAATCGAAAACAGAGAAACACCCTGTAAATACAAAAAAACAGAAATTGTCGCTCGCCAACATCTGAAAACAGACAATATCTCTATGTATTTATATATGTCTAGCACCATAGGGAGCGGTTCCAGGGTAATACGAAAACACACTCTGTATATAACAAATGATCAAAAAGAAACATCGAAATCATTGCAAATACTTTGGTGATGGAGTCACAAACAAAAAAAAACAATAAGACAACTGCCAATCATGTAGTAATATAGAATACATGTCCATTGCATGCAAACAAAGTCCGAGCCCAAGAATTTCCAAATTCCTTTTTTCATTTATTTTTTTTACCAATTGAAACTATAGCAATCTAAGCTCTGAAAAAAAAAACAAATTATACACCACACGCACACTTTTATATATACAAACATTCAGAAAACTTGATAAATCTTAAGCTTACCAAAATGGCTGCCAAAACATTTCTAATACGTTACATTTAAGTAAACCCCACTAAAAGTGAGAAATAAAACATAATATTAACATTAAAAACTTGCACATTGAAATGTGTGAACCAAATTGTAACATATTCTTTTTATTTATTTCCCAAGCCCTTGCAGAGGCCAGATGTCAGGGACATATACAATTAAAATTGTTTTTTTCCGAGCTAAGAAAATAATTCCCTGAAATTATGAGTTCATAAATAAGCTTTTAAATTTTCGATTTTTAATGTCCATTAAATGTCTTTTACAAATTAGAACAAAACATAGTTTTCCCTAATGGGAATCGAATTGGCATTAAAACTTATGGATCTGCAAGGGTTCTCAGAGCTTCGGTTGACCGATTCTGGACCTCTTTTGTTGCGTTTTTTGTTAACATTTACATTCTATCTGGTTTCGGCTCCTTTCCCCCTTTCGCTATTTTCCCTTGGTGTTTGTTTATTTCAATACAGTTGAGTGTGTGTTAATTTTAATGATATTTCTTTCAAATGGTTTTTGGTTATTGTCAAATGTTTGTTTGTGTTTTTGTGAATTAACAAGTGTAAACCAATTACAAGTTAATTATCTATGTTACGATATAAGCACCGCACAAACTCTACTTCCATTTTCACCACTTTATTCTTGACTTTCTACATCATTACTGAATTTGCACCCAAAGCACACTGAAAACCAAATATGCAAAGAAAACCAGCACAAATTAATCTGTAAATAATAAAAACTTTACTTTTGTCTTGAATCAGATAAAATCAGTCAAATAGTCAGATATAGAAGTATAAGTTTGAAGAATATCCGTTGAAGCCGTAGGTTTTACAGTTCCACCTACTTTTTGAATGCAAATGGAACACATTAATTAATTTCATATTTATTTCTTTCTCTCTCACGCTTATTTCTCTCTCTCTCCCACTTTCTTACATGTGCGCTTGTTGAAATATTTTTAAATTACCCTTTGATTTGACTTGACTTAAACTGTTTAATTGGTACATGCTATATGCTATAAATGAAATGGTACACTGTGTGCGCTTTTGCTGAACCTATGTCAAAAAAAAAAAAAAAAAAAAAAAAAAAAAAAAAAAAAAACACCCACAAAACACAAACAAATTTAATGGTATGGCATGCAACTGCAACTGCAATCGATCAATCAATCGCTCAATCAAACGTCGCAACTACAACCACCCAGGAACTACCCAGTATCCTTCTCGGTATAAGGGCGGTGTCACCCTGAAAGACACGCCCTGCATGGTTCTGTATATTTGTGCAGGTGTGTTACAGCCACCGCCGCCTAACCAAATCTAATCGCAGCGATCCTCCATTATGATACACCTATATTATTTGTATTTTATTTACATTCTTTTATTTTGTTTGATATTTTTTTTTATTTTCGTTTATTTGGCATTTGTTTTGTATTATTAATCTTATGATCTTTACATCTGTATTATGTACTGCCTAACCCTAGAGCAATAGAAGTTTTATAAAAAAAAAATCAAAAATAATTCCAAAAAACCTGTAAAAAGTTGCTTTAATGAAACTCCCACAACCCGCCACGCCCACTAATGCACAAGGTCCCACGATGGACCCACGATTACCGACCCGATAGGTTGAGCACCATCGTAACATCTTTCCAGCATGCGTGAAACCACAATAATCAAAAGTCTTACCTTAGTTTAGTGCCCCGGGTTTTAAGTTGTACATGTAGGGTTTAGGGATTACTACTAACCAAGGGCTTCGGTGCTGCGGAGGCTGTACATTTATGCTAATTTTTATTTTGTGCCTTTTCACAAAAAAAAAAAAAAAAAAAAAAAAAACCAAAACACTGATAATACTGAATATACCGAAAATACCGAAACATAAAAATGCAAAAAAAAACGCCGCAGACTTCAAAAGCAGCAAACTCTCGCCTTCGAAGCCCCTAAATTCTGGACCCGCCACGATTCGGCCAGCAACTATTTCGTACACCTGCCAGCCCAGCGACTTCAAGTGCGTTTCCCATCCGCACACTTGCGTCAGGGCCAACATGGTGTGTGATGGCATTTACGACTGTACGGATCACTCGGACGAATTTAACTGCATCGCCGGCAAGGGAAGCGGAAAACCAGGATCCAGCTCAGGATCGGGAAACTTTAAGCGCTGGAAGAAGCATCCGATGACGAAGGCCATCAAGGATCGAAAGCTGAGGAAGCGTAGCTTCGGTTGGTCCCAAAGTTTTCTCCTTTCCCCCAATGCAAAAGCTTTCTTTCACTCTTTCTTTGCCCTGGTATCGCTATCTAATTCTCAACTGTACTTCCTTTCTTCCTTCCTCCTCCAATTTCCCATTTCCAATTCTATCTTTTCCGAACTCTATATATATTTTCCTCCACATTCTCCTTACTCCTTTGGCTGTTTAATTCCGCAATGCTCGTGGGTGCACAAAATCGTAGAGTTGAAACGATTGAAATTGGCACTCAATTGAAGAAACCCGATTATCGATAAGCGACCAGCGATAACCGATAACGAACAACCGCACCAAACTTCAAAGTCAATCGAGAAGTAATAAAGAAGACATGGCGCACTCGCACCTTGAGGGGTATAAAAGTAGCTTAAATGTAACAAATAACGATGAACGATAAACAAACGTTCGATATTTTTACAGCGTTCAGCGGGTTGGCATTTTAACAGAGTCTAACTTGTGATGAAATTTGCATGCAGCCGGATGAAAGTTACTAACTATATTATCATATTTAGAGTTACGAAATTTCTGTAAATAATACAAAACACTCAGACCCACACAAACACATATATGCGCACACTTTTTGTCACACTATAAGCGATAATTAAGTAATCAAAATTTTGTATAATGTATCTATAATTGTATCTATATACCCGTTTATGTATTTTTTGTGACTCAAAAAGCCGAATTGATTTTAGTGGTAACCCAAGCCCCAATTAGATCTGTAGAATTCGACTCTTGAGATAAAAACGAAAACCAGAATAAACCCTAAACGACCCCATTTGTAACCCCACATGTATTCGCATTCTGTGTGATTCGATTCGTAGCAGTATTGAGTAAAAAGTAGCTCCATAAAAAGTAGTCCACCTCACAAATCCACATAGTCCCCTCTCTGTCGCTCTCTGTTTCTATATATGTATATCGTATATGTATGTATTGTCTAACTAGGAAACCAAATTCCAAATCGAAACAACTAAAACGAAACCAAATGCGATATGAATCGAACGATAAGCCGATCCACCTAAAAATAATAAAGTTTACCTAGTGAATACCGTTATATTTTATAAAATTAAATTATATATATATATATATAAACTTAATTTCGCCGATAACTAGTTAAATTTTATCGTTCGATAAGTATCGCTTTCTTTCTGTTTGAAAAGCCAATTTTGACCTGTAATTTTGCTAACTGTTTTCTCTCTCTGTGTATTTTTTACTATCTTATTCCCATTCCGTTGTTCACTACACTACACACACACAAACACAATTACACCACCCACACACACACACACACTCACATATCTACACACACATATATACACACATGCACCCATGCACCTGTGAATTGTCGCTGAATTGTGAATGTTCCGCCGAACATCCTTGTCGTCCTTGTCGACCTGTCGCCCCTGTCAATGTGTGTGTGTATCTGGTGTCCTGTCGACTGTTGGGCGGTATCAGCGGCGACCCCGCCCCCCTACAGCCCCGCCTACCTGCCGCCGGTGCCCACGGCGCCCCCACACTTACCGGAAAGGACGCGCGACTACAGCCTGAAACTGGACCAACAGTCCTCCAACCTTCGAGTCGGTGAGGACACCGAAGTCGAGTGCTACTCCTCCGACGACACCTACACGGATGTCGTCTGGGAGCGGTCCGATAAAGCTCCACTCAGCAACAACGTCCGGGTGAGTACGGCTCCAAATTACCATCCTCTATAATACTATATCTACGATCTGTGATCATTGACCAGGACCTTAATACACAACCCTATAGCTAAGATTCCATTGACTATGGTTTCGATTTATTATTATTCCTTAAAAATTAATCTAGTACGGTAACAATATACGATCCTAGATACTATTGTATCTCCGATCTATAAACTTTGAACAGGGCTTTGACACCGTTAACTACGTTTTCGGCTTTGCAACAATTTTTATAAAATATTAACGATTAATGTTCTTTTCCCTAACTACGATTCCTTTATACCGTTCTATATAATCTTAAAAGCTTTCATTTAAATATAATATATATAATATATTATCATTATTTACCTGCAGCAAGTGGGCAACCGCCTGGTGATCAGTGATGTGGCCCCAACCGATGCCGGCAACTATGTGTGCAAGTGCAAGACAGACGAAGGAGATCTGTACACGACCAGCTACGTACTCGAGGTCGAGGATCAGCCCCACGAACTGAAGAGCTCCAAAATAGTCTACGCAAAGGTGGGCGGAAATGCCCAGTTGCAGTGCGGAGCCGATGAAGCTAGGCAGCCCACCTACCGCTGGTCCCGTCAATATGGACAACTCCAAGCGGGACGCAGTCTGCTCAGCGTAAGTCCCGAAAACGTACAAATACCCTTTTATAGCAATTTTAAAAGCATTAAAAAATTAAAAAAAAATTTATTTGCAAAAAAAGTATATTTAATTTATTTAATAAACCGGTTTTTAGAATCTAAACTGATTTACAATCACAATAAAAAAAATCATCAAAATATAAAAATATTTTAAAACAAAGTTATCGAACGTTTTAATTTTTTCTGAGAACTGAAAACTTGCTTTTAAATATTTAAGTTTAACTATTTTATAGAGATTACATCTCTTAAAATTTGTAAAAACGACATGTTTATATAACGCAATCTATTGGTTATCTATATAGACATAAATAAACCTTTAATTTTGTAATTCCAGGAGAAGCTTTCCCTGGACAGCGTGCAGGCCAATGACGCCGGAACGTACATTTGCACGGCCGTGTATGGCGACGGCGAGACGGCGGACTTCCCCAACATTTTGGTGGTGACGGGGGCGATTCCCCAGTTCCGCCAGGAACCACGCAGCTACATGAGTTTCCCCACGCTGCCGAACTCCTCGTTCAAGTTCAACTTTGAGCTCACCTTCCGGCCGGAAAATGGCGACGGATTGCTCCTCTTCAATGGACAAACCCGCGGAAGCGGCGACTATATCGCATTGTCGCTGAAGGATCGCTATGCGGAGTTCCGCTTCGATTTTGGCGGCAAACCGTTGCTGGTACGAGCGGAGGAGCCACTGGCTCTCAACGAGTGGCACACGGTTCGAGTGAGCCGCTCCAGGAGGGATGGCTACATCCAGGTGGACGAACAGCATCCGGTGGCATTCCCCACACTCCAGCAGGTAAAGACCTAGAACCCAAAACGTTATAGATCATATTATATATGAATACAATGGTATACTCAATACTCAAAAAACCGTATTAAGTCATATGTTCGGATATAAAAATGGCAAATATTTTTATATTGAGTTAAGCTTAAAAATTGGCCTTAAATAATCTGTTAACTTTTTAACAATTAACAAGTTTTAATAAAAACAATCTTACGTATTTTTAAAGTAGATAAGACCTTATCTAAGACCTTAAATATTTTAATTAGTTAATTTGTCCTTTAATAATCTTAAAACTTTGTAGAGTTGGATTCCACAAGCAAATAGTATTGGCAAAAATTGCAATCATAGTGAAATATATTTTCGCCATTATAAAAACTATTAAAATAATAGGCGTCAAGTTAATAACTTCTAGTAGAATGATTAATAGATACAAATAATTATAATAACCTTCTTTTACCCAAACATTAGTTGCCCCAACTGGACCTGATTGAGGATCTGTACATTGGCGGAGTGCCCAACTGGGAACTCCTGCCGGAGGAGGCGGTTGGCCAGCAGCTGGGATTCGTGGGCTGCATCAGCCGTTTGACCCTGCAAGGACGCACCGTGGAACTGATCCGGGAGGCCAAGTTCAAGGAGGGCATCTCCGACTGCCGGCCCTGTGCCGCTGGACCTTGCCAAAACGAGGGAGTCTGCCTGGAGAGCCAGACGGAGCAGGCATACACCTGCATTTGCCAGCCGGGATGGACGGGAAGGAACTGTGCCATCCAGGGCACCCAGTGCACGGCCGGAGTCTGCGGCGCCGGACGCTGCGAGAACACGGAGAACGACATGGAGTGCCTGTGCCCGCTGAACCGGACCGGAGATCGATGCCAGTACATTGAGCATTTGAGCGAGCACAGCCTCAATTTCAAGGACAACAGCTTTGCGGCCTACGGGTAAGTTCTGTTTGTGATTGTGCTGTGCGTTTGTGATTCCCTGAAACTAACTAACTGACTACCGATTCCCTTGCAGAACCCCTAAACTGACCAAAGTCAACATAACACTTTCCGTGCGTCCGTCGAGTTTGGCCGACTCCGTGATCTTGTACACGGCGGAATCCAGTTTGCCCAGCGGCGATTACTTGGCCCTGGTCCTCCGTGGCGGTCACGTGGAGCTGCTGATCAATACGGCCGCCCGCTTGGATCCCGTGGTGGTGCGATCCGCGAAGCCACTGCCCCTGAACCGCTGGACGAGAATCGAGATCAGGCGTCGCCTGGGCGAGGGCATCCTGCGGGTAGGCGATGGCCCAGAGCGCAAGGCCAAGGCCCCGGGATCGGATCGCATACTGTCGCTCAAGACACCGCTCTATGTGGGCGGCTACGATCGGTCGACGGTCAAGATCAACCGGGATGTGAACATTACCAAGGGCTTCGATGGCTGCATCTCCAGGCTCTACAATTCGCAGAAGGCCGTTCAACTTTTGGCCGACATCAAGGATGCGGCGAATATTCAGAACTGCGGCGAGACAAACGAGATCAGTGGCGGCGACGAGGATGGCGACAATGAGCCATTGGTGCCGCCCCCAGTCCCAGAGGTCCACAACGAGGACGAACTGCAGCCATATGCGATGGCTCCGTGTGCCAGCGATCCCTGCGAGAACGGCGGTAGCTGCAGCGAGCAGGAGGCCATGGCCGTCTGTTCCTGCCCCCTCGGTTTCAGCGGCAAACACTGCCAGGAGCGTAAGTTGAAGCCTTTGATCAATTAAAATGGCAAAGAGGCCATCTAATCCCCATACCGATTTACCTGCAGACATCCAGCTGGGCTTCAACGCATCGTTCCGCGGCGATGGCTTCGTGGAGCTCAATCGCACCTACTTCAATGCCGCCCTGGAGCAATCATACACCTCCATGGTCATCGTGTTCACCACCAGCCAGCCCAATGGTCTGCTCTACTGGTGGGGCCAAGAGGCCGGAGAGGAGTACACCGGACAGGACTTCATCGCCGCCGCCGTTGTCGATGGCTATGTGGAGTTCTCCATGCGACTCGATGGCGAGGAGGCGGTGATCCGGAATAGCGAGACCCGCGTGGACAACGGAGAGCGGCACATTGTGATCGCCAAGCGGGCGGACAATACCGCCGTTCTGGAAGTGGAACGCGTGCTGCACTCGGGTGAAACCCGACCCACCAGCAAGAAGGCGATGAAGCTGCCGGGCAATGTGTTTGTCGGTAAGTGTCCTTACAAAATAAGCGCGAATTCTATAGCATACAGAGCTTTCTGAAATGCTGTATAAGCCACAATGATACACAAATTTATGTCTACAAGATGTTTCACTGTTCCTAAACCCTTTTCGACATCAACGAATGTCTAATCGAATCAATTTCCAATTCACTTTTCCAGGTGGCGCTCCGGATATCGCACAGTTCACGGGCAACCGCTACAAGCACAGCTTCAACGGCTGCATCGTGGTCGTCGAGGGCGAAACCGTGGGCCAAATTAACCTTAGTTCAGCTGCCATCAACGGAGTGAATGTCAATGTCTGTCCCGCGTAAGTAAACCCCATCATCTTTCTTAAGAACTCTTCCCCAGCTTTTGTGACTTATCGATCCTCCGCCTACCTGCGATCAGTCTGTGGAATCCTTCTAGCCTCGTTCACCAGGAGATCGGTGATGATCTGGTTATGGATTACCATGTGGATGACAGGGATTTCAGTTTCTTCGACGAGCTAGATCAACCGCCACCCGTGCATATTTTCTATCCACGTCCCAAGATCAATGACCTCAACACCAGCAGAGCCCATCGAGTGGCTCTATCGTTATCGCTTGGGCTATCGATCGTCCTCTTGGGCAGTCGCCTATCGGTGATGTCCTTGTGTCTGTTGCCCGCCCCCAGCTAAGCTCGATTCATCAGGGTCGCAAAGGGAATGATATCGAAACAGATGGACTAATCGTTAAACGCCAACAGTTAGCTAAGAGAAACTGAACCGTACCCCTTACTTAAACGTGAAAGGAATCTTTTTCCATTTTCGTTAGCCCAGAAGAGAGGCGGCTATGACACTTTTTAAGCCCATGTGACACTGGTTTAAGTCGAAAACAAAACAAACAGTAGTCTAATGAGGGTTATGTTAACTGTTGGCTAGATTATTTCCAGCAAAAATTGCTTTTACTATCTAGTTGCTGAAATAGAAAGATATATATCTAAATATAAAAACTCCTCTTTCTGTTTGATACCTTGAAATATTTAAATAGATGTGACGGCATGGTTGCAATTTCTAGTTTAATGTATGTGGAAAATAGGTCTGTTCGTATATATACAACGTTAATACATTTCATTCAATAATAAAATTCCTTTCTTTTCCATTTAAAAGGAGAAAATCTAGCAAGTGTCATAGCCGCATAACCCCAACCGTCTACAATATAGTCATATATATTTGGGAGTGTTAAAATTGGAATTATCGTGCCATATCATTGCAGAATATCATGTTATATTATACAAAGTATAGTTAGTACCGCAGCCAGATAAACGAACATAGATAATCGACTAGTATTAAGCCATCCTTAAGGATACTAAGACTCTAAGCGTGTTTTTTTTTTCTAGTCAAATAGTTAGCACTGAACCGAACATAAGCGGAATATTTATACATATATGTTATTGTTACATATCTTGTCTATCAACTTATAGTTGGATTATTCTCGTTTCGAAGCCAAGCTCAGGGCACCCAGCTCTTAAGCTATATATATTAATGCACTCGGACACCAATTGTCAGTAGGTAGAAAAGTCTGGTATAGATAGGTGGTGTTCTATAGAAATAACACCCTTGATACAGATATCGGTGCAATCTATCCTGCGATACTGAAGCTCTAGCTCAATGTAGTCAAAACTTATCCTGCTTTGTGACCATAGCTATAAATACTACAAATTAATAATATTATGTTACATTGAAGGGCAGTGCGTTTCAGTTTTATAGGGTAAAGAATCCCTCATTATGATAAGTAACTTTTATTAAAATCTGTTTATTTTTACCTGATCTCAATAACTCTCAAAAAGATGCATTAAATATTATCCAAAATCATTAATAACGTTTTTCGTAAAATATCCATATTTCTGAAACGCACAGTTGCTCACTACACTTACTTACATAAATATTAATATTCATATATATTTACATAAATATATTACGGTCTGTAAAAATCGGATATCGTATGTATGGAGAAATCAAAGTTCTTCGCGTTGAGGCAAAGTCTGAAAATGCAGTTTAGCGAGGCTTTTAACCAACTTTTACACATTTCAGAATATACAAATATTGTTGTTACTAGCATTCGTAAGCTTAGAAACAAGTCCTATTAAGGAAATATCATTTTGGTTTCCATTCTATTATGATTTTATTTTGTTCAACTTCTACTATTTTACTCATTATTTATATTGCTTACATATTTCTTCTTTATTTTTCTTAATTTATTTATGATTTCCTTGATTTCTTTTCGGTTTTCACCAGTCACGACGAGCCCCTGGGAGGAACCGAACCGCCAGTCGTCTGAGGACACAACCAGCAACCGAAATTAGCTTTTTAATTAAACATTAACAAAAGAAACAAAAGGAAAAACAATTTTTATATATACATCATATGAATAAGCCCCAAGCAAAACCATACAAATTTTGAGTGTTATATGGCAAACAGATAATATGATAACAAAAACACAAAAAAAAGAGATAAACGATCACTTCTACTACAACTGCTTCTTCGATCCTTAAGTCTAGGTTAAAGATTGTAGCAAGAAAAAAGCGAATATCACAAACATTTATTTAACTAAAACGCCATGCGAGAAGTGAAACGAAACAGATACAATAATGCAATTAATGCAAATAATACAGATAAAGCCTAGAACCCTAAGAACTAACTAACTAACTCGAGCAACAACAACGCATACTAGCCAACTGCAACCACAACAACCACAATAGTGAAGGCATTTTAATTATAATTTTAGTTTCTAGCTTATATCTATGACTACGACTCTTTTTTTGTGAACCCAGTGTAAAATGTTGGAAATCGGAAATTGGCCCTACACACACACACACACACACACACGTTATTAATTAAATACCAATTGATACCATATATTGATAAAAGAAATACTATGAATGCAACTATTGTGAACGAACGAAAACCGTTGAGTGGATAAAAAGCAAAAGCAGAAGATATATTAAAATGAAATCAACAACAATTCGCAAGGTGTTTAATTGCGGGAGGAGCGGGTGATAAAAGCATAAAGTCAAAATTCCATAAATATAACATCTTAAATATATATATATATATATATATATATATATATATATATATATATATATATATATATATATATATATATATATATATATATATATATATATATATATATATATATATATAAATATATTATATATATATATATAATACCATTTCAAGGACTTCCCAGCTGAAAGGACTTCGACAGCTTACTTCGTCAAGCCGAAGTTTTAATACCCTTGCAGTCTAGGGATAGACCCGAAACTATATAAAACCATTATATAAGGCAAGAGAAAAACGAGATATGCGCATATTTTTTGGAAAACGACCAAATTTATTAAGTTTTACCCGGTCGTTACTATGGCAGCTAAAGGATATAGTCGTCCAATCGGTTTTTTAGCATTATCAATTTATTAATAAGAATATACGATTTGAAAGTTTAGTAACGATTGCGAAAGTTTAAAATCTCTAGCTTTTAAGATGAGCTCACTAACGGTATACAAAAAGACGGGCAGACGGACATGGGAATATCGACTGTCCTAGTCATGCTTATCAAGAATATATATACTCTATAGGGTCGGAAATATCTCCTTCAAATTTATTGATTTTAGTTTTTTAAGTCTGTTATAAATAAATTTCAACAGTTCAGTACTTAAGACATCAATACTTGAGACGTGGTTTTATTGGTGGATGGAAGGACTTTTAAAAGGTTCCAGTACTTTATATAGTTTACCCAAATGCTGATCAGGTTGAAGGCTTAAAGTGTTCACAGTTAGTTGCTAGGATCTTTAAATAATGCCATTTTTGGCATCCACATAGTGGGTGGAATGAATTTGAAAACGAGTACCTGGTAGAACAAATTAAAATTAGTCTCAGTAACTAATAGTTTAGTTTGTAACTTGTACTTATAAAACATAATATTTAAAAAAATATTGTACTGATGGCTTTCATAATATTTCAGTTCTTAACAGAATATTCTTATTTTGGCACGTGAAATTCTCTCTCTCGACGCTCGACGCTCGCGCTCCTCTCTCTCTCTATTTATCTCTCTCCGCTGGCGCGGTGGTCTGGGCTCTCGGCCGTCAGCTGAAAATTCATTTCGCTGCCCGCCGCCTACCGAGAAAGTCGTGTTTGCGGAGCAACAGTGCTGCGCCTTGGGGAAAGATACCAGCGCACCAGAGATTTATATTAACCCTTGGCGCCCGCGTCGCGCTAATTACCGTTATTTGCTTACTCTTTTTTTTTTGGCTGTTTCAAAATACCCTGTGAGTGCCTAGCTGTATTGAAAATTAAAAAGTGATAGGAGTCTCGAGAGAGGAGAACCTCTCGAGTCTCGAGAGCGAGAAAAGTGCGTGTGCCAAGTTTGTTTTTATTTTTAAAACGGCTAAAACGGCAACCGGCTAAAAAGACAGCGGCATCGCGTTTAAAAAAAAACACCTAATAACTGTAAATTATAGTTTCGGCGGAACATCAATAATTTTCGAATATTTGTCAAAAAGCGAAGGGGAAATGGCATTGGTGCAGCAGCAGTGATCCCCAGATATCATATATCGTATTTCGGACATTTGGACATTCGGCGGATGTGACTAAGAGCCACGAAATTCAATTTAACCCGATGCCAATCGCCGTGTTCTCGTGTGGTGTGTTTAAAAGCCTATTTGAAAATGCCATAAAATTTTAATAGGTTTATTTTATTTGGGTTGCCTTTCCTCTCGGCACAGTTCGGCATTGTTCTTTACCTACTTGATTTTTGTTTGATGGGAAAAATCGCAAGAATGCCGCGTCTAACAAAGTGATCAAAATCTAATCAAAGTATTTACCGTTCGTTTAGCGTGCGACAAGGAGGAGGTTAGCGATCGGCATAAAGCGAAGAGGATAGGAGTAAAGAGGATTCGATTTACCTGCCCTTCGAAATTGCAGCCAACAGGTGAGTTTTAAAACGGTAAATTGCCAGTGGCTCGAAAGTAGTTCATCTGGTCAGTTCAGTCCGTAAATGTCCGTAGATCAGACAAAACACCCCTCTCCACCCCATCGCCGAATAACCACTGCCATATCGATCGATTCCAGTTGACAAGTTTTTCGCGATGACCATGTGGCTATGTCCTTTTTTGGCCAACAGGCGATGGCCAATGGCCAATGGCCAATTGCCAATTGCCGTTACTTTTATGTGTCAGCGGGCCCCCAACCAAAATAACAACAAGTGTTGCACATCAAAATCAGCGCGTACATAAACCAGAAAAGTGGAGAACCAAACCAGTAATTTGTTGGTTGGCGGGGGGTTTAAAGACCATTCTTCGTTCCCCCTTTTTTTTGCTCGTTGATAACATTAATGAACTGTCTATGTGCTGAGCACCAGAATAGAAACTTAAGATAGGGAAAGGATGCACAACTACAGTGGGACCTCTTAAAACACGAAAAAATAATCCTCAAATGTGGAACAAAAAAATGTTTCTTGAAATTGGTAACTTGGGAATTTAAAAATTAAAAAATAAAACTGTGGAACTTAGCCTTCTTATAAAACTTATTTACTTTGAAATATATATATTTGAAATATATTGGATTTTTAGAGATTTAACATTATCTATTCCTGCACTTTAGCTTTGGATATTACTCTATACCAAACATTTGATTTGATTTGATTATGTATGGGATAGTTCAAAATATAACTTTGTTATGACTGTTGGATGTAAATATATGTGACTCAGTACACTTGCTCCACAGTCCGTCTTAGCCAAGTTCAACTGTAGCTCGAGCACGCACATTTTTGTTGCCATTGGCAAAAGGTGAGAGAGCGGAATGCAACAGGCAGCTGGTCGCAGAACAAGATCATCTGGGAGAGAAAGAGATACAGAGGTATATCCAGAGAACCGGACCCATGCCCAAAGCGAAAACCAAAACCGGAGAGCATTCCCATTTTCCTGCCTCCTTTCCGCTGACAATAAATCAAAGGGCAGGGGGAAAAGCCCAGCAATAAAAATCAAGGCAAGTGTCGTCGTCTCATTCTGCAGTCCAGAAAGGGAAGCGAAGGAAAGGGAAGGGAGGGGAGGGGAAGGGAAGGGGATTGGAAGTGGGATGGGAATTGGGAATGGGAATGGCTATGAGAATGAGAATGAGAATGGTCAGAGAGCCTTTGTTTCGTTGTTGATGGGATTTCATTATTACTTTCGATTGTGGCCCATTGAGACACAGTTCCTTCGCTCCGTCTTGTTCTTCATCGAAAATGCAGGCAAACAAAAAGGTCTTTGGGTCCAAACAAAAATAAACACGCCGTGCAGCATCATCATCATCCTCACCGTCACCGTCACCGTCATCGTTCCCATTCCCAGTCCCAATCTTTTACCATCCACATCCACATCGTCATCTTCCCGGGCTCCTTTGCTGCAACTCTAATCGCATAAGCAGATAGACCAGGTGAATTGAGGATGAGGGGAGCAAGAAGACTGGGCCACACACTGAAAGAAGGTAGAAAATAAATAAAGCGATAAATGGAAAATAAATTTCAAAAAAATGCTTTTCAAGTGGCCCAGCGTCAGGATCCCCGCCCCCTAAATCAGAGATCTATTCGATGGTGGCCTCCCAGGTTCCATGCTAAACTGACTGTTTGACGAGCTACTGGCCTGAAACTTGGCCAGAACAGGTCCTTTTTACTGGGGAATCGGTCTTGGTCTGTGATGCATCCATTGGAATTGGTTTAGCATAAAACGAGATAATTGGGTTGGAAAGTAAAAGGTTAAGATGCTATAGCCATTCAAATTCCTTGAGAACATGATTGCGATAACAATTGAATAGGCCACCCATCGTTTGTTACCAATTTTAATTTTGTCTTGATAATTAGTTGCTAGAAAGTCATATTATTTACTATACTTTATGTATAACATAAAAATGCCTATTTTTGTTATAATACGTTTAAGCAGTACCAAATATCTAAACCATAATTTTCGTATTCTTTGCGCTCAAATTTCATGGTCAAAACGATCGCGATCGATTCTCGCACATCATTAATACTGATCCACTGAGCTAGTTTCCATCCAGACCACATTCGACCATATCTCACAGTCATAATGAGGAAAACAGAATGCTCCGAGTGCATTCGCCATCAAAATTAGACATTGACACCTTTTCCCCTTGGGATTTCGAATTTGTTTTTGATTTCGATTCCGAAACGGATTTTGGTTCCGTAAAAACGGCGCATAAAAATTATTTCACGCCACGCCGAAATGGGCCCCAAGAAATTATGATTAATGTTGAAAACATAAATTGGATTTGATTTCTGTTTGTTTGCCGCTTTCGTGCAGCTTTGTCTCGCTTTTTTCTCGCTCTTTTTTTGGTGTTTTGTGTCTTTTTTTTTGGGCTTTTTCTTGGTCTTGGTCTTGGTCTTGGTCGTCATGGATGTGTTTTTTCTTTTTTATATTTTGTATTTTTTGTATTTTTTGTATTTTTTGTATTTTTTTTTTTTTTTTTGCTAGGTAGCCGCCGCCTGTTCATTAGCACAGACTAATCATTGGAGCACAAGAGGCTGCCGTGGGGCAGGAGGAAAAAAAGATCGGGAAAAGGTGGCAATCAACGTGAATGAATGAATGGTTGAACTCTCGTCTCGACTTTGAATCTTGTGAATGAGCCTGAGACGCGGAGAAGGCATGAATGGGAGGTTTTTGTCAGAGGAGGAGGGGTTATGTTTCTCCTCGCCTTTTTTGTGATCTTCGCTCTCCCCCAGCGGAAGTGTAATTGCAGGCTGAATTGGCCCGGATTCCGATTGGGTTTTGGTTTTGGTTTCAGTTCGGGATTGGGAGTCATCTCGGGCCCGTTTTTTGGAGCGGCGCCTTGCATCACAGGGTAAATTAGCCTCGAAAAAAGACAAATGACGGCGATGAAGAATAGGTAGTACTGAAACAGCTGAACATGAAGAATCGGAGATAGAAAACGGAAGCGCATTACAAGCCGCCAACGTAATCTGATCACATATGTTCTTCTGAGTGCTGCCACGCCCACGGATCCCCGAATTCTGGCTTCAGTCAAGAGAAGGAGGCGAATCTCTGGCACGTAATTCTCCAGCTTATCGCACTAAAGACATCGGTAGCGGAGACTGTAAAAAATATCTCTGGGATGGAACACATCAATTGCTGTGGATATTGGTAAGCCGAAACGGAGAATTCGGATCCCTAAACTTAAAACATAGTTGAATATGTTTGAAGAAAGTTTAAGGAATGTGTTTTAGACTATTTATTAACATAAAAATAGAAAATCGACTGTGCAGTGATGACCCAAAAGTTAGTCAAATAGTGACTACGAATGGGACCTATTTGACTGTCTTTATAGAGAGCAATGTCATCATCAATCTAGAGCTAACCGCAGTAGTTGAAACAGAGACGATGACAGTAGTGCATAAATAAATGTACCTCTCCAACCGAACTGCTCCTTATCAGTGGGGACATCGGCGGTCCGTGACGATGACAACGGCAACTTTGGAGCGGCGACGGCGGCAATCACCATCGCCCGCGGACAAAAAGAGACGGAGACAGAGAGAGGCAGAAAGAGACGGTAGACAGAGACAGACAGGAAGTGGGCTATTTGCACTCCAATCCCAAAACAAGTCATAATTTTCGACAATGGGCCGCAGACGACACTACGGTTACGTGGAATTCGGCTACCTCCGCCGTCTGTGCCTCCTTTATCTCGTACATCTCCGCCCTCTGGAGTTTTGATAAAGTGGCTCGTCGGCGGGACGAGAGACATTTAATAAGCGACAATTTAGCGCTGAAGTCTGACATTGACACAGGTAGGGAATCGCAGTAACAATACCCAGGTAGCCTCCTCCTCCTCCATCTCCGCCTCATCTTCTGTTTCATTTTTCCCTACTACCTCTGTCGCGCTTAGTGATTCAGGAACTCCGGCAAGTGTTCACTGACAAGGGAAAGAACTCAAAGGGATGTGCGGATGTTGATATCTTCAGCGGAGATCGACTGGAATGGGTCTCCTGGTCTATAAAACCAATTTTAAACGGTTCACTTCTAGGCGGACAAAGAAAATCTAGGAATATCGGATCAAGAAATAACGTGAATGAATTGTGGAATATTGCCTGAAACTAATGAAACGATTTCGGAATATAAAGTGGTTACTTTACAAGCTGACCAGGGACCACGAAAATAGAGTTAAGAGATATGCCACAAATCCTATGGAATGAATAGAAAATGCCTATGTCTTAGATATAACCAAACCTTATGATCGAAATCTAAAGCCCGGCTTACCATCACACGATCCTCATCGAACCCAATGGAAAACTTTTGGTTAATCAATGAACCGACATAAGGCCAAAACTGTTTGATGGATTAGAGCTCCGCTTTCCCATTTTTTCCCGCGCACACCTGTTTCAAGCAGTTTTTAATTAGAGCCTTCCCCCAAAAAGGGGAAGCAACTCCGAGGGGGGTTTTGGGGTTTTGGTATGGGAGGCCTGGGGACTGGGTACTGGGGACTGGGGCCTGGGGCCACGATGATGTATTAATTTCCCACAAGCACTGTGAAAATATTGAATAATCGAACTGCTTCGATTTCCGACTAACTAACCATCAGTTCAGGGGCGGGGGCAAGGGGGGCTTTGGCTCAGCACGTAGCTGTCAGCATTAGATGGGGGAAAAAAGGGGGCGATCGCCAGCTGTGTATGGGGTTTGGTTCAGAACATTTGTGAACTCAATTAAAATAGCAGACGGCGATCGGCATGTCTACGGCCATCCCCTCCTCTTTTTTTTTTTTCTTGGACTATAGGATCCATGCAAATGCTGAAATCCAAGATTCCAATGCCGATTCGAACTTTGCACGTCTCAGAGCCTCCCCTCCTAGTGGTAATTAAACCTGCGTGGAAACAGGAAAAAACGAAACGAAACGAAATAAACACATACCAGAGCGAGCAGCAGTAACATTAAGAGTAGGAGA